ATTGGCGAAGTAATTTTAAAAATAAACATTGTCTAAGCCGAGAAAATCAAAGCTGAAGTTTATGTAAATCAGGACAAATCTTTATCCGATTTACAAACATTGATTAAACATTCATTTCTTTTGTATTTTCCTCGTGAATTATTAATGAATTTTTTAAATAATAAATAATTATATCTAGTCCTAAGGGTCTATCCAGTAGCAATGTAATATGATATGGCAATGATGTAAAAATCTTTTTAGGAAAGTTAAGCAAGCGAAACAACTCTGATTAAACTGACTTACATCATCATAAACCCGGTCCAGTATCCCAGGCTTCTTAATTACCGTTGGAAAACCAATCAAATCTGTCATTTTCTGCAACTGTGTAAAAAGAAAAACACGGTTATATGAAAAATAAACACGACTATCTTCTTCATTCCTTTCTTAGGAGTAAGGGTGACATTATACATTTAACTTTTCAATTTTGTTTAAAATCGTCTCATCTTTCATTTCTTTTAGTTTTTACCAGTATTCCATAACAGTTTAGGTGCTGTCCACAAGAAATGCTGAATTGTTCAAATTGATTATAAAAGCATGAGCTGCAGCCAAGACTACATTTTGCCACATTACTACTAACCTTAAGACGAGCCTGAGCGCGGGTTGCATAATCCATCCATGTTTGTTCTTCCAAACCATCAATAAACTGACTTTTTATCTCTTTAAACATTTCTTCTGCCTAAAAACAAGTTGTTAAATCAATACATAAGTCGAATTATTGTAGCTACTATATTATACGTGTAATCTGAGCTTAAAGGACATGCCTATGTACTGTATGACCCTGTTTTCAGTTTTGTTTTGTGAAAGAGATCAAAAAGTAAAAAATAACAGCAAAAAACCATTGTTTGGTATATTTCTACTCTAAATGAGTTGGAGCTAATACATATACCTGAAGGACTGTAAATGTAATTGACTGATGCATAACATGTACATGACATTGGTGCATGACATGTACAGACATTTTATAAGCCCGCAACTGGTAGAGTAGTTCGTTTTCACTCGTCAAATATTTTTGCAATCCTTTGCGTAGTTTCAAAATATTAATTAAATATTGATTTTTTGTTCATAAAATATTAAATGAGATGAGAATTAATTTTGTAGTAGCATGTAAAGCATGACACGTAATGCATTGCTTGTCTGATGTGACAGATGCAGTTGCCCAAACAAGTTTTGATGCGCTCTGATGCATGAAAGGATTTAGGTCGTTTGTCATTTATTCAGTGGCAAATTAAGGAGGAAACTTCAAGAAAATGAGGCCATTGATACTCAGTTACTATACAAACAATAAGTCTCCTTTTCTTCTAATGCCAACAACACCACATTATGTGGGTCACATGCACCAATAGACCAATTCGAAGTTTCTATTGCGCATCCAAATGATGCTTTCTGTGCCGGAAACAGATTGTAGTTGAACTATAAATAACAAGTGGCTGTGGCAGGAGGAATTTAGAATATGCATATGCAAGTATTCAAATGTTTAATCATCACTGCATGGATATGAAAACGTTGCTCAAAGAACAAATATAGTTTCTGCACGATTGAGTCGTTTCAAATTAGAAAATATCTTCTCTTAGGTGTCCCTTTCTCTATTTTGCTTTACACATGGGTAAACTATGCTAGAACGAAATTGATATAATTTTCAATTTTAATGTGGCTATAAGTGAAACACAAATGATGATTGAACAGTATAATACTTTGATAAGCATATTCTAATTCGTCCGATCTTAGCTATAATGGTCTAGTTATAATGGCCATTATTGCCAACAAAGTTAAATAGGAGAGATGGGGCTTGGAAACTCATTAAAATCATACAATATAAGTTATATAGCAACTCATTATCTATGTTTATATTTAGGTTTATTCAGAAGTGTGGTCCTTCGTCGTCACGTGTGTATTGTATTTTTGCCCAACTAAGGGATGGATGTCACGATATTTCGCTTGATTTCTTTTGAATTGTGGCCATCTGAATAAATCAGTTCTACTTGACTGCTCGCAACTCAAAAGAAACTGAGCGAAAATTAAATTTAACCAATAGCGATGTTTTGGAAAAGTTAGCTATCCGTGACTTGAGTAATTGGGTAACTTCAAAATTGCTATTGGTGGATTTGGCGATGGTTGTCCAATACTGTCGCAAGTCATGATTCACGAGTCGTGTTTTTGATTTTGTATATTAGAGGTATAAATTAGTTCACGCGTGTGCTTATAATATAATGATAAGCACCTAACGAAATTTGTACGGCTCGTTAAATTTGTGAAATTTTGCGATTCGTGACTTACAGGTTATATGCACTTTAGCACAAGCGTTGGCTAACACAGATAATGAGTTATATTTTTATTCTAATGAGTTTCCAAACCATATCTTCTGTCAGAGGAGGAATGAGGGTCTTCCCGAAATGCAATGCGCGCCTCAATGCGGCTCATTATTATTCAAAATATTTAATATTCTCAACGCGCATTCTCAACGCATATTCTCAACGCATATTCTCAACGCATATTCTCAACGAATATTTATTCTTTACTCGATTAAAAACTGTTGAAATATATTGCGATTTTTGCTGTGAAGATCTCGTCTTCTCAAGGTACGTTTTGATAACTTTTTTGTTTAGTAATTTAATAAAAGAATTTTGGAATAATTTGGTATATATATATATCGCATTTTACTATGTTAAATTCCCATTGTATTTATGTATGTTTCGGGTCAGTGAACAGGACCTTCAAAGTGGCATTTAAATGTTCATGAGTAAATTATACCATAGAATAAAGATCCACATAGAAGGGCAACTTACGTCGGAAGCTTTGAAGTTTTTGTCCTCGCGCATGTCGCATTACGCATGTTGGCCGCCATTTTCCTAGCCAGTCAATGACATTTTCTGGCCAATAAACACGCTGTACTGGCTGGCTGCTCCGCCTTCTGGCCAGTAAACTGCATATTTTTGCATAAAAAAACGAGGACACGTTGCACCGCTGAGTTGCCCTTCTGTTACTGATCTTTATTCTGTGATTATACTTAACTAAAACCACATCAATGAATTCAGGAACGTTTACTCTTAGTCTAGGTCCTGTATATAAGTTTGTATGCGTTTCATTTAGGACAGGTAATCTCAACTGTTTTAGGGTAAAATGACCATGGCGGTCAACATGGCATATGTGCCAAAAACTGAATCCGGGACGAAAGTCCTGAAAATCAACCCACCCAGAAACGGCCGTGTCGACATAGCTCTAACTTCCGAAAAGGAAAAGCAATAGCCTTTCTGAAGTACTTATAGTGTTCAAAAGGGTTGGTTTTAGGGGTGGTCATTGGAAGGAAAACTTTGTCTAACTATAATATTTTACAAGAAAATGACCATGCACCACCCCAGGTAAATTGCTAATTATGCACAAAATAACTAATACGCCTGGCAGCATTTTCTTATTTCCTGAAAAAAATTATCATGGGGTAAAAAACTATGCTCAATTTAACATAATTATTGCGGATTTCATAAGGATTGTCATTATTTTCAATAAATATAATACATTTTATTTCACTTACCCCCACGAAAACACGATTTCAGCCATATTTTGCCGTCTTGCATTTATCGAATCTGGCAAATATCATCCAGTTGTTGTACTTTTACATAATCATAAATGGCTGAAGAAGATTTCAAAGAAGGTTTCATCAAGTTTGGAAACAGTGCAGTGTATTTTATCTTCAATATTGTGTCCTTCGATATTTCGTGAAATATGGGGCCATTGCAATGGCTCGCCGCTTTTCTGCCCGATAAATGCCACTTCTTCGTCTTCCGATGCATTTAGATTACAGTATCCAGAAGTAATTCATTGTAGAATAGTCCCAATCGAAAAATTGAAAACATTAGTTGTACTTGAAAGGAGAAAACCTCCCATAATAGTTGTCCTGTAAGAATTCAAAAGAAGTAATTTAAAAGTCACGCGCAAGTTCGTGAAAACTCCTCATGGGCTACCACAGCAACCTAACTAAACACACTATATTTATTGTATTTTCATGATTGATGATAAAAACAATAAATATTTGCGTATTTTTATCATCAATCATAAACATTCAATAAATATAGTGTATTTAGTTAGGTTGCTGCGGTGGCGAACAAACGTTTCGTGAAAATATTTTTCACGGAATTTTCACGAGCTTGCGCGTGACTTTTAAATTACTTCTTTTGAATTCTGACAAGACAAGTGTATTGGGAGGTTTTCTCCTTTCAAGTACAACTAATGTTTTCAATTTTTCGATTGGGACTATTCAGCAATGAATTACTTCTGGATACTGTAATCTAAATACATAGGAAGACGAAGAAGTGGCATTTATCGGGCAGAGAAGCGGCGGGCCATTACACTGGCGCCATATTTCACGAAATATCGAAGCACACAATATCGACGATAAAATACAGTGCACTGTTTCCAAACTTGATGAAACCTTCTTTGAAATCTTCTTCAGCCATTTATGATAATGGAAAAGTGCAACAACTGGATGATATTTGCCAGATTCGGCGATAAAAAGCAAACAAGACGGCAAAATATGGCTGAAATCGTGTTTTCGTGGGGGGTAAGTGAAATAAAATGTATTATATTTAATGGAAATAATGACAATCCTTATGAAATCCGCAATGATTATGTTAAATTGAGCATAGTTTTTTACCCCATGATAAATTTTTTTAGGAAATAAGAAAATTTCATTTCTGCCAGGCAAATTAGTTATTTTGTGCATAATAGCAATTTACCTGGGGTGGTGCATGGTCATTTTCTTGTAAAATATTATACTTAGAAACCAACCCTTCTGAACACTATAAGCACTTCAGAAAGGCTATTGCTTTTAAGTTAGAGCTATGTCGACAATGCCGTTTCAGCGCCGGGTCATTTTCAGGACTGGGTCATTTTCAGGACTTTCGTCCTGGATTCAAATTTTGGCACATATGCCATGTTGACCACCATGGTCATTTTATCCTAAAACGGTTGAGATTACACGTCCTAAATGAAGCGCATACAAACTCATGTACAGGTCGTAGACTTTCTTTATATAACGATACTTTAACACATGAATTTACTCCACAAAACCGAAGAGTTATCGCGGTTTGAAAATGAGCTATTTTTGCTATAATATTATAATTCTGTAATAGCGAAAATAGCTCATTCTCAAACAGCAATAACTCTTCGGTTTTGTGGAGTAAATTCATGTTTTAAAGTATCACTATAAAGAGTAAACATTCCTGAATTTACTGATGTGATTCTATTTTAGTTATTTTAGTACAATTTACTCATGAATATTTCAATGCCACTTTGAAGGTCATGTTCACCACGTGTGTTCACTGACCCGAAACATGCATAAATACAATGGGGATTTAACATAAGTAAAACGCGATATATATACAAATTTATTCCAAAATTCTTTTATTATATTACTAAACAAAAAAGTTATCAAAACATACCTTTGAGAAAACGAGATCTTCACAGCAAAAATCACAATATATTTCAACAGTTTTTAATCGAGCGGCGCGTTGATATCATTTCTTGAATAATAACGAGCCGCATTGAGGCGCGCGTTGAATTTCGGGAAGACCCTCATCCCTCCTTTGATCTTATATTAACTATGGTGCAAACTAACATCAAATCTTACCGTGTTCCTAGCATCTTCTGACAAGTGCCTGTTTACATACAGTAGAGTTGTAACATATTGAAAAAGACCGTCTGTCAAAAGATTACATATCCGCCATCTTGGAATAGTTATACCAGAAGAACTTTTTATATATTTATCCTCTGCTTCTCTATACTCCTTTGGTAGTGTCTGGACAAAGCCTCGAATAACGTTCCACATTATTTCGTTTGCTAATAAACTAAAATGTACAAGAAATATTTTAGGTTCGTGCTCAAATTGGCATGATTTCCCCTTGCATTCAAAGAGGACCCATGAAACCGAAACCAATTCAAGTCGAGCTAACCGTACCAATATACTGTACTGTTTATTGCCCCCAATAACCTCGTTTTCATGTGGTTATTTCTTCATGCTTCGTATACACTACACTTGCTCCAAGTCTCTCTTTCATTGTCATATAGTATCGATCCACTATAGTGTACATTACATGACGTAGCACGGAGAGGCGGAGTGAGAAAAAGAGACTTGTCAACATCGGAAAATCTCGGTTCAAAACTGAACCGAAAATGCAAGACTTTCTTTAATTGTTTTCCTTCAATTTCTTTCTGTATTATTTACTATAATGGAACTCATGTTATTTACACTGTGCTAGATCAATACATATATAAACACTAACAGAAAACAATTAAAGCAAGTCTTGTATTTTCGGTTCAGTTTTGAACCGAGATTTTCACCAGTCTGTCAAGACAAGTCAAGTTGACAAGTCTCTCTTTCTCGCTCCGCCCCTCCGTACTACGTCATGTAATGTACACTATAATGGATCGATACCATATGACAATGAAAGAGAGACTTGGAGCAAGTCTACGTATCACCAGCTTACAAATAGACTTGTAAGATTGCAGTGCCATCGTCGTCACAAGAAAATTGCTATTTGGCTCAAGGAGTTTGCGTTTCTTAAGCCTCCTGAGAGGAATTTTCATAAAATTTCTAAAGTTCTTCAATTTAAAAATTGAAGATTTCGTAATACACTTTTAATTTAAACTTTCTACAACCTCATCCCCAAGTTTTGAAACAACGTGTGCTATATCACAAGCATAAACGAATTGGTTTCGTTCCTATTGATATACACACAATATCAATGTAACAACAAACTATTAAAGATTTGTACAACGATAAATATATTTGTGAAGCACCGGGAAGTAACCTTCATGTGCGTCTGCCATGCTAAAACAGTTAAGCATCAAAATGAGGTCATTAAAGTGCAATAAACTGTAAAGCCTATATATGAAGTCGTCACGAAACACGATCTACGTCTACACAATCGCTACGTCAGGCCATGTTACACGAGGCAAAATCTTGAGAATTCTTCAAATCATGTGAAAACCGAATTCAATAGCTTTTTATAGTATAGGAGTATATTGTAGGAATCCATTTGTGTTGCGATATCTTCACCAGTGGCATAATGTCATACCGTTTAATTTTTTTTCTAAATTCTATTTAAATTTTAAAATTTTTAGGTACCTCGGATCTCCTATGAATTTGGCAATAGCCTGTTGGAAAATCCGCTCACCAATAAGTAAGAAACTCAATAAACTCAATAAAACTACATATTTGCACGGTCATTCATTGAGGGGACACACATCCTTTTTGTTTGGTCACCTATAGGAGTTGTTTCATACGGTTAATTCTGTTTTGAACGTCACCATACTACCGTTTAATTAGGACAAAACTAATCCAAGATGGCGGACAACCTAAGTCAAAATATTGTCCCATTTCAAGGTGAAGATTATAAGAAGTCGATAGCGGAGTTTTATATAATTCTAAACGCACATGATTATGGCCTACCTCTTGGGTTTATCGTGAAGCCAGTCAACAATCTTCTTGATATTGTCGGGATATATTATCATCAACGTTTTGTATGATGGAATTGTTTCAAACGTGCCACTAAGTATTTCCTCAAAATACAAGCTCCAGTCAAACTGAAAAAGTAGAAATTATAGTGTAAGGCATGGTAAGGTAAGGTAAGGTAAGGTAAGGTAAGGTAAGGTAAGGTAAGGTAAGGTAAGGTAAGGTAAGGTAAGGTAAGGTAAGGTAAGGTAAGGTAAGGTAAGGTAAGGTAAGGTAAGGTAAGGTATGGTATGGTATGGTATGGTTTGGTATGGTATGGTATGGTATGGTATGGTATGGTATGGTATGGTATGGTATGGTATGGTATGGTATGGTATGGTATGGTATGGTATGATGGTATGATGGTATGATGATACGAAAACTGAGCTATGGGATAATGTGATATGATATGGTATGCCATGATAAGGTATGGTATGTCATGACAAAGTATGGTATGGTATGTTACATTATGGTATAGTATGGTATTGCTGAAAATGGAATACTATAGTATGGAATTATAGTATAATGGTAATATATGGTAATGTGTATATGGTATGCGTGATACTATGTCATGCTATACTATCATAAAATATAGTCTGTTAAGATACGATGGTCTGAAACCAGCAAATTTCAAAGCTACAAAATAGAAGGCCTTTGTTTGATGTTCAACTGTTACCTCGCCGTGCACAAATCCTTTGTGTCAATTTCATTAAGTACTAGTCATCGTCGTTGCACATTTCATCTCATCTATCCCTATTGGACGATTACTTCATTATACGAAAAGAGCACACACAACTGATTGACATAAATTCAGACAAAAGCATAACACAATGACTCGGTTTAGTTTCTGGACCATCATATCTTGATAGACTATGCATAAAACAATAAGGTTGTGTTATAAAAGCATGAAAGTAACAAAACATTGTAAATCTTACCTTATACGATGTGAACTTGTTCAACTCAGAAACCGTCATAAATTTGATGTTCTTTTTAAGTTCATCTATACCGGTAGAATGCCCCTTAACCTGTAAATGGATAAAAGTTATATTCTTTGTAATGTGTATCAGTTACAGTCGAACCTGTATTAAGCGTTACCGCATTGAGCGATCACCCTTTATTAAGCGGTCATTTGGTAAAGTCCCCAAAATTTATAAAGAAAATTTTAAATATTAAAATGTCCACCTTTCGCACAGTCCCGAACATAATTTTTCATTGTTTGTGATTGTATAAAACGGACACTGGTAACAGAAGCGATGGAGTCCGATGATGCGTTGAGAAAACTTGTACAATTTAAAGGACATCAAGAGCTTTTACTAGTCATACCAAGAGTTATTTACGCCTACTTTGGGGACCAATACAAAATAACAGTAACTAATATTTTCTTAAAATACTGAGTAGTTCCCGTAATTATTGGGGACCAAGGTCGCCGTTATTATGTGCGACATTAGGCGACATCAAAATATAATTTAGCTATCAAATTATTGTTAGGCAAAGCTCAAAAATTGGGTGCACGTGGGCGACATTAGGTGAAATTAGGCGACATTAGGTGAAATTATGCGACATTAGGCGACCTTGGCCCCCAGAGTAGGCCTTTATTTGATTTGTTGCATGTGCCAAACTTAGCACACCACAACAGCTAAACTTAGCACGGCTCTGTCATTTTGTATTTCAAATTGTTACGTTCAGTTCTCCTATTTTATTAAATCTATTAAAAGTTGAAAACCACAGTATAAAGACGTACTTCGGATAACTGCTAGGCCCTATATAGGCTGTTTTGCTAATGGACCATTTGCATTATAGACTAAATTTTGATCTAGACAAAAATTTCATTACAGCTTGAAAGAGCATCACAAAATTAGTAATATTCCAAAGTTTCGTTGCAAAATGTTGTAAAATGCGGATAATATAGCCGTTTTTGAGCCATTTTGCCACATTATCCGCATTTTACAACATTTCGCAACGAAACTTTGGAATATTACTAATTTTGTGATGCTCTTTCAAGCTGTGATGAAATTTTTGTCTAGATCAAAATTTAGTCTATAATGCAAATGGTCCATTGAAAGTATCGAGTATTCTAAGCAATGTAGAGATTTTCAGTCAAATGTGGAAAAGGGACAATTTAAATTTGTTAGCTTGCCAACCACTTACATGGTCCTGTGAAATATATAGCATAAATTGGTTTCCCGCGTTTGACGTCGTTATAAGAAATGTCTATTGGTAAAACAGCCAAGCAGTTATCCAAAATACGTCTTTAGAGTTTCAACATTTTCTGTGTAAACCATTATGTTGAAATACGGCGAGTTAACCTTGTAAGGGACTAATACGAGGCAGTTAATCTTGTAAGGGACTTCGTGTCCTATTGTTACTCTGCCTAGTATAAAATTGTTATTTTGTAATAATTTATATACTGAATTTAATAAATTCAAATTCAAATTTAAGCATTCAGTGCACCGTACTAAAAATGCATCCTTTGTTTACAATTATTACAAACACCAACAAAACTAATATTACGACAGTGTTTCTCCATAATTTGGAAACCTCTGAAGCAATACAGAACAATACACAGTAAATGTCAACAGTCAACAGACTCCACAAGCGGAAATGGGAACTCAAGTTTCTTGTATTTTGACTGCAAACAAATTAATAATGCATACTTTCTTAAATTCTTTTTCCAAATCAACAATACGATTCACTTCTTCGTCAATGGTCGAGTTAGAATTAGAACCAAGCAGTTTGAATATAGTTGACATCAAAATCTTGTAGTCGTCATAGGTATCAGGATCCTGTAAACACAGACTGATAAGCTAGTCACTATAAAATTCTCAGTTGTAGCTACATGCGACAAAACGTCCCATTGAAACTTTGTGATGTATTTGAAACGACTGATTTTCGAGTACGCGAGAAAATATTCAAACACAAATACGGCGGGCCGCTATACCTATAACCATATTCATATAACGTAGCAGTTGATGTATAGACCGTGTTATATATACCTAGGTTAAAGCGCATTCATTTAAGCGAGGATCAGGTTAGTACTTCATCCTGCATGGATATTTTGGATCCGAACGATGCATGGCAGTACAGTACAAAGGAATATTAGTAAATACTGTACAATTTACTTCAAAAATACTGTACAACTTACTTCTTAAATAGTATTTCGGATGATTTTCAGGCACTAAGTATTTTCAAGCACTTTTCTTTGTTTCCAAGGATTTTTTATTAATAACTCAAAGTGCCCTTGAAATTCCTTTTTTAATTTAAGCAATTTTCAAGGAGTTGGAGGACCTGCAGCGAAACCCGATATGCACACACGGAATTGACTGTAAGTTAACGTATCGAAAGCAGTTAAAGCCATGCATTTGCTTGCACCTATGAAATCATAACATTGATATGGGTTCGACGAAGAGCGTAGTTATAAAATGCTTGAAAAGCTATAGAACTACATACTAGAACTTTAACAATACAACAGTTTAATCAGGTTTATTATCAATCAACCAACGGACAAATTTAGAAATCTTAAAAACGCTATTCGGCCTTCGTTTTGAGGAAACCTGCGGTGTTTTCTAGACCCAAACTCCAAACACTCTTCTCACTTGCGACTAAGTTAAAAAGAAAAAACCGCATCGGATTCCATACTAGCACTTCATCATATTTACTTTAAAAGATTAGCACTTCAAACATGAACCTACCTCATCTTCTAAGTAATCTTGCGGGAATCTCGAACGAAATCGTTTCCTATCTAGTCGTCTGTCATAAGCAGAAATTCCCCCACCGATCTGGTATTCAAGAAACAGAACATTAAAACAATACATTAAGTGTCAACCAATTTCGTTGTTTAATAACACCACAATTTGGTATTTTAACGGACGGTTAAATTAGTTTTGCACTTTAACAGCTGAATTCAGTACACCCCCCTCTCCCACCTCACCCCCAAGTTAAAAGTACCAATTAAATTGCCTGACTCTGGCATGCCTTTAAAGTGAAGTGGTTAGCTCTAATCATGCAACATTGACCAATATTTTACAACAACAACGGCAGCAGAAGTAAGTTAGGGTTAAGCCATGGACCGACGCTACGCCATAGTCTTTGAAAAATTTTACTTTCTAAATGCGCGCTTCAACTGTTGGGTTGCAGGCCAACTTCAATCAAAAAGCCTGATCTTGTAAACATACCTAGCTGAGATTACCTTTCCCTAATAAAAATTTTGCATTCCCCTTATAATAAATTCCCTGTAAAGCCCCACACTCTCCTACCTTAATTTTGAGCTTCTAATATTGTGCCGAGTCGGAACATACAATAATTTGCAAGTTTGCAAGCTTTTTAATACTCCAAACCATGCACGTACTCTGGTCAAAATTTCCTCGTTAACCTAAATTTAATGCTCCAGCTAGACTAGCTTACCCAAACTATCTATATCTATAACCCAGAATGCCTGGTTAATAATCCACCTAATCTAGTCTGGCTAATTCAACCATATGGCCTATAGCTGGTTAAATTAATCATGCATGAATCCTGGTTAAATTAGCCAGGACGATAGGGACGACACAATTCAGAAAATAAACTTTTCAAGACAGGATAAGAAAAGCTATACCTTGGAAAAGTCCATTCTTCAACCTACCGTGACAAACTTTTTAGATGTGTCAAAAAGACTTCGTGATATACCCCAAGATAGAAAAGCTGGAGTGTTAAGATCAACCAATGCCCTGGCAAGAATTTTTTCTAATTTCCAAGAATCTCCATTCCAGTCCTTGTTGGTGATATTCCAGGAGCCATGTTTCTCGATCGCGTCAAGAATTGGTTTAACCCCATCATTTTTAATATAATTCTCATTCATACAAGATTTGTAGTATGTGAAGGCTTTATAAACAGCTGAATCCTAAACACAATGGAGAAGTTGGAGATTGGGATGTCATAGTGGGGTTGGTTTATCAGTTTTAATGATCTTTTCTGTGTGAAATAACCCGCAAGGAAAATCCACACATCATCTCACATGTAAAATTTTATGTGGAATTGGAACTTCCAACATGAGCTCCTCCTTTGAATTTACTATATGAGTAAATTCTTAAACACGTCCGAATTTATCATTATGCTAAATTCGCGGCACATTTTGAATTGATCAATAGAGTTAATCATAAAACCACAAGCATTAGACAAGATTTCTTGTTATAAATGTAATGGCACTAAAAGGGAAGTTGGTCGCGCGGGGGGTGGGGAGTTTTTCAAGTTTTTTAAAAAAATAATTTTTAAATAAGTTTTAAAAAGTTTTAAAAGAGTTTTGAAAAGCAAGAAAAGTTTAAAAAGTTAGATTTTAAAAAAGTTTAAAAAGCAAAAAAAATTTAAAAAGTTAAAAAAGTTAGGGTTAGGGGTTAGTGGTTAGGGGTTAGGGGTTATGGGTTAGTGGTTCGGGTTGGGGTTGGTGTTAGGGTTAGGGTTAGTGTTAGGTGCCGCGAATTTATTATTATGATAAAATCAAAATTTACCGCGAATTTATCATAATGATAAATTCGGATGTGTTTAAGAATTTACTCATATAGTAAATTCAAAGGTGGAGCTCATGCTGGGAACTTCAGATGTGAAAATCGTCATTTCCGATGTGAAATTTAGAGTTTTCAGATGTGACCTTTTTATAGTGCATGTGCATGGAATTGGAACACTTCGCACGTGAGGCATTTTCACATGTGAAATTTGTCTGAAATGTTTTTGATAAAACATATAATTATATAGGCCTATACTTAAGCCGGTTACAGACGAGCAAGTTTTCTATGACAAGTTTTTATGTGACAAGTTTTATTTGCAAAGTGCACGTGTGCATATGCAACAAATTTTATATGACAAGTTTTATTTACTGGTGTGAACGTCTCAACAAGTTTATACTTTGACAATTTATTAGTAGCCAGCAATGTAATAGTACAGTGGACAACGCGAACGCTGGCCAATCACATCAAATGCTCAGATTACTTTGACAAGTTTTCTTTGTTGACCCATACAGACGAACAAAATTTGTTGACATGTGCACTTGTTCAAAAGCTGGCATGAGTTGAACAAGTGCACTTGTCATAGAAAAAATTGTCAAATTAGCGTGTACAGACGAGCAAATAAAACTTTTCACATAAAAACTTGTCATAGAAAACTTGCTCGTCTGTAACCGGCTTTAGTGTGAAATCAGGCAATGCAGATTTGGTTCTGCTAATTCTGATTTGACAGTGTAAAAACACTCAGATTGGATAAAATAACCAATCAGAATTGGTTGTCTCAAATGCATTTTCTTTAGACCAATATTGTGTTATGAATAACGGTATGATAATTACAGTACCTCTGAGAAAAATCGGTTTAACCCTTAAAATAACCCAATTTTTGGCACCTGGGACAACCTGTCCAATTCAAATTGGTTATTTTAACCAATTTGTTTTTACAGTGCATGTATATACGAGGATGGTAAAAGATGTTTTCAATCCTATTTTCCCCCGTCCAATTGTGTCTAAATCTCACACACTGATTTCCAAATCCCATTGCAAGCAAAATTGCTGATGCAAATATCCTTTATTCCAAATGATCTAAATCTCATTAAAAAATAGGCAAATTATCCTAGCTCATACTTTACCCGTTCCCGCGTATAAGAATTTATTTGCACTCATGACAACCTGAGCTTGCGAACCAGGCAATTTGTCAACATGAACACTGTAAAATCCCTGCGTATTTTGACTCGAGTAAAATAATGTAGCCACAGTTATAGAAGCAAATTTAGCTAGTATTCATTAAATATTTTGAGTGAAGTTCAAATCAACTCCATTTTTATGTGTAAATAAATATTTACTTTTACAAAGTGAGTAAGTTTGGTCATAAGTTTGCGTCATTTTGAGTCACTACATGTGAATGCATTATTTTACTGAAGTTTTTGAGTCAAACTTTTCCATTGAAGACAGAAGTGGTTCTTGAATGTTGGGTGCTTAATAACTGCCTGTATTTCAGCCTGCATGGTGGCCCATAATACACTGGTTCTTATGTACAACATTTGATCACTTTTTTGTCCAATGTTATGAATAACAGTAAGTTACAGTATAATAAATTACAGTACCTCTGAGTAATCTGACATCAAGTTATCATTTTGTAATATCTCTTTCAAGGCATTTTGAACGAAATCCTCTGCTACACTGAATGAATTCAAGTACGGTTTACCGTCAAGTAGATGAGTTTTGTTTAAGAATCCCCCACAACTGTACTGGTAGAAATCATCACATGGATTGGTGGATTCATCGAGTTTGTTACGAATATCTGAAAAGAAAATTATTAACTGGCTTTAATTTTAATCTGTTTAACACCTGATGTCAATTGCAAACGCTTCTCGTTACTTTAAATCAGATATGTACATGGAAGTTATTGCTGATGCCACAATTCCTCTTCCTTCAGTTAATGGCGAAATTTTCTTATAGGCATGTTTATTCGATTGCACTATAGTCTATACACCAGAATAAGAATCGTATACGACTAATCTTATAAGTGGGAGCTTGTAAATTTAGCCGAAACACAGCCACAGTTTTTTCGCTATCGTTTATAATTGATGTGGGAAATTTATTCAAACATGCACGGTAAAACAAGCGCTCAAATTAGACACAAGGTGTATCTTTTTCATTTGAATTATGCAAAGACATTTTAAGTGACTTAAGATTCCTGGCCATTATAAACTTGTATAAAAGTTTCATGAAAACGGAAATAATGTCATCCTGAATTTTATTAAAAATAGATTTGAACTCCAAAGAAAAATAATCAATTATTATGAGTGAATATATGCTGCAAATGGTAAAAATAGGTATGCTGTGGCGTACTTGCGTGTACAGGGATTAGAAATTACGCGGTTTGGGGTGGCAAAAATAATGGACAGCGTGAGAAAATTCGCCAGAAATTGCCTTTCTGAATTCATGTTAAGTATATATAGTACTGAATAAATAAAGGCGATAAACAGCAGCTCTATGCCGAAGTAAAGCTATGACGTTTTGACGCCAATCGACGCCAGTCGACGCCGTGTCCAGATTTGTCGTGATCCATTTTATCGTTAAGAAATCCTCAAAATTCAATTATAAAATACATGTTATATAAGAACGTTTTTGATTGGCTGAAATGTTTGCCATATAGTTTCGCAGATAAGTTTGACTAAAAACACACTTCTAATTAAACGGCAAAACTTAATCCTGGCTACACTATCTAAAGTATGGTGCAGGTTCCAGGATAGGTAATAGATCAGACCACAACACAATGATATAGTCCCCGAGCCAACGGCGTAAGCCCGGGGCGAGGGTACTAATTCCGCCCGCCTATTTACACCCGGGGAAAGGAACGCACTAGCGAAGTCTAAAGTTCATCAAATATTGCGGGCGCATGGTTCACCGTTCATGGGTGGTCATCCTCACTGATCTCAAAATATGTAGCGGACTGTCGTGAATAGTGAACACTGATTGATCAAATTTGAAAGCATGACGACAGGCGAAATATCAAACATTGCCTGCAAGTTGTACTTTGGCAAGATTTTGTCAATTTCAAAACCTTTCTGAGAGCCAAAAAACGTCTAAAAGAATGGAGCAAAGTCGCCGACGTTAAAGAAGGAAAGTTTGTTTTCCATATTGATGTATTGTTTGCTTTATAATTGCTTTAAAAACTGATACGATCGTCGCGTACATAAGTGAAAAAAGACAGCATATAATTTCATAAAAGGCAGTTTAATAATAGTTTTAAGAACATTTTAAAACGTTTTGCGGAGCGTTTGTGGTTGAATTTTACATTAAATTGAAGCTTTTAATTACGTATAATACCTAGTATAGTACCT